CAGACCTTCCATTTCTGCAAACACTTCATATGGTCTAGAACATAGGCACATTCCTGAGGACACTCCTGACATTCCTAGCAATCAGTCTTGCAGGATGCACCTATCCAGAGCCATGAAATGGGGACAAACCATTGACAGACAGTGGCTTCACAGCCTATTTTCCCAGCCTTTAACAAAATCAAGTGGGTACGAAGCAAACAGACACAGCAGGATAAAAGAAAGTAGCAGAGGCAATACAGCAAGCAGATTCCTAGCACATTCCCAGCTACTTGAAGCCTTGAAGTCAAGGTTTTCTAAGCTGACACGCACTGACATTCTCTCACTCTGTATTACACAGAGCCACTCACAAATGAAATTACTTGTCAGGTTTGTGCAAAAAGTTAAAATGATGAAAAAAATCCCAAACAATCAAAAAAATTTTAATAAAGAAACATACCACAGGCGGCCACTGAGGATCAGGAGAGAACATTAGCGAGAGGAAAGGTGATGAAGTGACTCACACTACAATCCATCCTCAGTACCCCTGGAAGCTTGCAACCGGAGGAAGGGGTGGCAGTGACTCACAGTCCACTGCCTGAGCCTGGGCTTCCATCACCAGCAGGAAAATGCCTCCTGCACTCTGCTGCTTGGTCTCTCAACACTTACATTGTCTCTGTTCTTTTAACAGATGACACGTACAGACCAATTTCAAGCTTATGACTATGGCTTTAAGGAAAACATGAAGAAATACAACCAGGTAAGGCTACAGGGTTTCCCTGAGAACTCATCCTTGGGTCCTGGGAAAAAAAAAATCACATTTTAGCACCTCCAGCGCTACAGAAAGAGGGAGAGTGGTCTGAGATAATGTTTCACCTGCATCTAATACTCATATGTGTAGCAGTCTATTCCCAGACAAGGCACAGGCAGTTCCTTGCAGGCAGCTAACAGCAGCTCAATTTGGCTCCCCTAACTGATGCAGGGGTGTGTCAACAGCACGTTTATTTACCTGCCATTCCCAAAAGGCTAAGAGCTACACTGAAGTCCTAGGACTGGATGAGTATGGAGGTCTTCAATTCCACCTCCTAAAAAAGTCAAAGCCTGCCTTTCTGTTAAGGAATGAAATGAATCTCACAGTTACAGTGACCTCTCCAATCGTCTGACAATCATTTCGGTTTTCACCGGAGCATTTGATTTGCAGTGTCCCGTGCTGTACCACGGCAAGCTGCTTTTCACAGACAGAAAGGCTTCAGAGACCTGATCAGTCAATTCTACCCATGCATACCATCTCAGACGTCTTCTAGAGTGAAATTATAAATGACCTAAGTACTTCCTTGCCACCTAAGTCCCAAGCCTAGCAACTAAGACCAACAGTTGCACTCCATGCCCCAACAAAACTCATGATCTTCCCACCTTAGACACATGAATAAGTTCCACAGCCCTTGCCTAATAAACACAGACCCTGCTGTTTCCACAGCCCCACCTGAGAAGGGTACAAGCGGGTGTCAAACTGCAGGGCAACTCATAGCCATGCACTAAGGAAAAACAAAGGAATAGGATGGATCATTCCTTTTCACAGCAAACATGTAATGGTGTTGTGGAAACAGACACTAAGAGGATGGCCTTCATCCTCACTGTTTAATTGTGGAGAGTGCAGAAGAGAGAGGTGCTGGCACAGAACCCTTTCTTTAAACAAAACTTCTCATACAACAGCATTTACTCAGGTCTCCTCTCTTTCTCACAGTCTGCTCCTCCTGTGTACAACATAGAGAAGATAACCACACCGACCGCTGTTTGGAGCGGTGGACAGGACAAATTTGCGGATCCAAAAGACATGGCAAAGCTGCTTCCTCAGATTACTAATCTTATTTACCACGAGCATTTCCCTGACTGGGGACATCTTGATTTCATCTGGGGCCTTGATGCAACTGAGAGAATGTATCGGAAAATCATTGAAATAATAGCACATGCAGAGTGTTGATTCACTCAGGAAAATCGTCCAAAATGTCTATTTGGCAATAAGGGTGATCTTACCTGGGGAAGAGGTGAACACACAGACACACATAATGGATACCAGTATAGGGTTTCATCTGCACTTGTTTGTTTCTTGCTGTCCTCAGTGTGAGGTTTTCCATGGTGTTACTGTGACTGTTGCCTTCCTGAGAAGTTTGAGGTGTAAAGGAATGAAAGCTGAAAGCATGAATATAATTGATGACACACGGCAGGGATCACTTATTTTGGACAGCTTTTATTTCTACAAGACTGATTTTCCTAAGCCTAAACTCTTGTACACATCTTACGTACCCCAGAGGCATTACCATGACCCATTCGTGTCTTCCCACAAAGATCCAAAAGAGGGATTTGCTCATTTCTCTGTTGAAGTACAGCTGACCTTTGATTAAATTAAATCATTTATCCACTTGACAGAGAACTTGGCTTTTTTGGTTTTTTTTTCCCTCCTCACATTTACCTACAGTGTTAAAAACAACCAAGAGATCTTCAGACACACAGAACGGAGCAGGCAATAAATTACTCCCAAACATCGAGGAATCCAACATCAGAAAACCTCATAGAAGTATTCTCCTGCCCTCCACGCCTACACATCACCCAAAGGTCTGTTCATGCACTCTAAAACTTCCAACTTCAAAGACCTCGGATGGCAGCTGAGGAATGAGGAGATGTAGACTCATCAGGCAAGCCACACTTCAAGCAATACAGCTTCCCCTCCACGAACTATTCTTGACACTGGCAATGAATTTGTTGCAAGCACTCTGAGCTATCGGCTTTGACTTCTACATAACTTCTGTGTCTTGACCATTCTTTGCTCGAGCAGTTTCTACAGCATGGGAAAGCAGTCAGCTGTTCTCCCACTCCGGCTATTAGACCAAAGAGATAGCATCTTCACTATCCATGCAAGTGCCTCACATCTTCTCACACAGAGGTTGATCTGGCAGGTAAGAGCGTCTGTCCCCAGGTTACACCCAAAGTATTCATTATTACAGGCTCAGACAGGGTAGCTTTGTTTCCTGGGGTGTTTCTGGGTGGGGCCTCAAGCTCATATTGCCCAACCAAGACCCTTTGTGGTTGGAGTCAGCATCCAATAGAATAGTTACACTGAAAAATACGTGTCCTGCAACACAGGTACAGTACACTAGCTTGCCCATGCACCTAGTCCAGCAGCCATTAGCCCTGCTGATCGTGACATCTATCTTCTGAACTTATGACAGCTTGCAGGAAACGGCCAAAACTAGCAACAAAAATAAAAATCCATTAGACCAAGCAAGTAAGATACAGCAGTGTTTGAAAGGAGATTCTCTTTTATTGCTGCATTAGTAAATCACAAAGCACCAAGCCGCATTAATACATTGCTTACCACTGCGGGTTTTCTTCTGCCTTCACCCATGCAAGAGAAGGCTCATGAATTTATTATTATTATGGTATATGGAGCCCCTGCTGCATGCACCGCTCTAAAAAGCATGCTATTCTGTCCAGTCCCATGGGAAGGATACATCTGGTTCCCATCAAGAGCATTTCATTTATTGATTTTTTTTTTCTTTAGTTTATATTGGAAAGGTAGTCAAGAGACTGACTTCTTTACCACGCCAAACATATTTTTGCTGTTATTTCTTAATGCACAAAAGCAACATGGGAATTGGCTTTCTTTGTGACCTCCATCAGCTCATTGAAACTCTTTCTTCTATTTCTTATGTTAAAAAAGAAAAAAAGAAAAGAAAATGAGAAGATCATCCTTCACTTGTAGCAACACGGTGAAAATTAAGGTGTGTGAAACTTGTAGCAGGGCTGGAAGGAGGAGGTGCTAAGCTGAGAGATCTACTTTCCCAGTCACTCCCATTGTAGCAAGAGAAACACAAAGAGGAAGAGTACCACACTTCGTACAAACTGCTGTGGCTTTTTGTTCAGCCGTCAGGTGTATCCTCTGTGGAACAAGTAGAGTGTTTCTAAAGGATACTTCATTTTTACATTGGCTGCCAATCATCAGGTGCAATGTTTAGACTTCAAGAAATATTACAGCTAGCTTTCAGAATCCGTAGTTTGCACAAGTCAGGTAATAAAACTGGAGATGTAAATGTGAAGGGAATAGTTTGAACACTATTGTAAACATTCATGGCTTAGTAAAATCAAATTAATTTCTTTCAGTCCATATGGTCTTAAGGGTACTGACAAGTCTCACACAAAATACTCAAAGTCTGCAGCAAGGAATGGGTGGATTTGGACCAAGTCTTTATCAGGTAACAGCCTTCGACCCTCTGCAGGACTCCTGCTGTTATGCAAGATGTACTGCCACATGAGGTAATTTTCTGCATGTTCAAGAGTCCTCGATGACTAGGAAGCTTTCCTTAGCATGCTCTCAATGTTGTGGAACTGCAATTTTCTTGCTATATCTAAGGGAGTCTCCCCATCCTGAAAGAAACAGATGAAATACATTGCAATGTGACAGAAATGTGTCAAGTGCAAGAGCTTTCTCAATTTTGCCACCCAGAAGCAGTGCTCTCCTGCATAAGTTTCATTGTCGCATCCTTGCTCTAAAACAAAGGTTTCAGAATGTAATGGGTCTCTTACTGCTCTCCCTGAAGCCAGGGGTGCAGTCCTCCACTCTCCTCCAGCCATTCCACGGTTTCCTGGGACCAATGTCCCAAGTCAATGCAGGGCCAAGCTAAGAGCTGATCTCAAGAACGACATAGGCAATACATCACTCACCTCAACTCAGTAACACAGATACTCCCGGGTCAATACTTACTTGGACATTTGAGCTTTTCTGATGACAGAAACAGCTTGACTTAGCCACTCTCAGAAGAATGGTGTCCAGTGGCACAAAAAGCATCTAGGAAGGCTCTTACCGCTCCCTTGCAGCCTGCCCCTTAGAAACAGCTGTAGAGCAGCTCTGAGTTAAGAGGAGGTACCATAAAGATAGCTAAGAAATCTGCCAATCCAGAGGACATGCAGGCAGTACTCACTGGTAGAAATCCAGCAGTGGAAGATTTGGACTTTAAAGTTGTTCGTGCCAAAGAAGGCAGTGGAGCAAACACTGCTTTATACCACACAGCAAACAAGCCTGCTTGTCTGCCAGAAAGATGTAGACCATTTTCTTAAACTGCTGCACAGCAGCTAAGGCCTACAACATACTGGTTCACCATCATGATGAGGAAATGCAGTTATCAGCTTCACCTTCTTACCTGATTCTTTACAGAAGTGTTTGCACGAGCTCCAAGCAGTAGAGGAATGACTGCCTGGTTTTTCATTTTGCAAGCATAGTGAAGGGCTGTGCTGCCAGACTGAAGGAAAACAGAAGCAGATGAATTTTAGTTGCTTCTTTAGTAAACCTTAGGCAAGTACAACTACCTGTAGCCTTATCAATTTCCTCCTAACAGCTGGATGCAAAAGACACATACCATTTCCTATCACAACACAGTAAAACAAATACATTCTTTTAAAAGCAACAGGAACAAAAAAATCATGCCTCTCCCAGGATGCAGCTGCTAAAACAGGCCTGTTACATTTACAAGGAAGCCATTAATTCTTTAGTAATTTCAGAAGAAACCCTTGATTTTGATCTCAACAATGATGTCTTAAGCAATACTGTTTGCTTACACTTCAGTGCTTTAGAATTTGGTGCTGTTAAAATCTGAGGTTCTCCTTTTCTACCTTAGAGAGGGGCTCTTTACCACCCCCAGGTAGGCTACTGGATAGAGAACTCTACATGCGCACACTGAAGCCCAAGCAAAGACCCAGAGAGAAGCACTGTGGCACGACCTTTGCCCACAAATCTGCTCCAGCCTAAGAACTCATAAATGGTGATCAACTCAGACCCCTATATCACCAGAATATTTATAGGATCAGGTATTTAGTATGTAATTATGTCAAGCCAGCTTATCTGGATTCTCTTAAGGGGGCATTGGTTAGAAAGGGAGAATTAGCAGATGAGTGAAGAATTATTTCTGTGTACATTACAAAACTACTGCCTAAGTGTCAAGGGGAAACACTGAACTCTCCTGCTACATCACAGTCAGTTCAGTCCCTGATTCTACTCTGAAAGCAGGTCTATATTGCTAGAAGATTCTGAAGTCTGGTTTTAGTAATGTCGCATGCATACAAACCACATTTGCATTTGCTTAAACCCACTTACAAAGTCTGTAGCATTAACATCCACTCCAGCTCTAAGCAACATCTTGACCAGGTTTTCATTCTGTTTAGTCTTTGAAATCTGTTTGGTGCAAGGGAAAGAGTAACACAGTAAGACAGTTCACCTGCATATAGTACTAAGTACTAAGTAGATTTTGGCTAAATACCATTTTTTCCCCCAAAAGAATAGTGTCTGGCTTCTGCAAATGCTAGACTGATGCAGTGGTACAATTCTATTCCTTCACTATCTATATTAACAGCAAAATCGCTGCTTCCTCCATCAATCCTTGCTTCAAAAATAGCAGTCCATATTCTATAGAGGTTCCTGGCCTGAAACACTGCATAAGAAAGGTGATAAGGGGAAAGGTAAAAGTACAGGGGCTTTCCTGCTTTTATCCAGACTCACCATGAGAAGATATCCAAGAAGCATAACTGGCATGAGGATTATGATGAGCACATAGTCAAGGAAGGTAAAGCGTTTTCTCACAGCGTAATGCAGACATGTGCGGTCTTTCTAAACACAAAATAGCTCTGATTAATACCAGATTGAGAGATCTCATTATGCTTGTTTAATATCTTCAATAGTACACCATTTGATGTTTCACAAGCTTTCTTTAAGGTTGTCTACTAGAAATATTTCTCTGATTTCCAAGCAGAAACACACACATGCATTTTGCTTCCTTCAAACAGAAGCACATTTAACACATCCAGGCTCACGGAAATTGGGCTACACACACAGGAAGGATGTGGGATCCAAAGAATTCCACGTGCATGTCTCAAACTAGGACACGGCTGCAGAGGGCAGAGTGGACATCTTGTGTGGCTACTGCAGCTGTCCATCAGGAAGAATCCCTACAGCTTTTCTTCTTACAGAGTCTGTGGTTACTGAAGCAGAGACATAAGAGAGTTTATGGCCTCTCCTTCGGGACATGTGAGAAACACAGGCAAGCAGCAACATCCCCAGCAGATTCCTAGTGAGGAGAGAGTTCAAAAAAAAATAATCTTTGAATACTGAGTGTACCACAGCAACTAAAGGGTAGAGCTCTTAACTCGTGTGTTAATAAACAATCCTGTTAAACCTGCTACAGGTTGTCAAACTGAAGTTTGGCAAACTAGGTTACAGCGATACATCAGGGCCCAAAATGAGCAGAGGAGCCTTTCTGTGTCATCCTCTGCTCCTCATTCTCTGGGAAATCAGAGATATAAGGTAGTCCACAACAGTGTAAGAACTTGCTAAACGCTACCTTGCAGCATGAGGTGATACAATAGAATTGACCATGCTGTGTGTTTTTTCCTGGCTATTTATCACCCTTAACATCATGAGAAAAAATCAGTAATGAATCCAGAACGCACAACTTAAAGCTACTTTTTATGTGTAACCTACAAGGAAATCTACCACAAAAACACACTTCCTCATCACCTCAGGGAAAATAACCAGTCCCAGCTATTGTGCAACGCAGATAGGTTTTTTAAAACAGGGAACAGCTAAAGAACAAATGAAGGCTTCCCTCCTCACCCCTCAGCATGCTATTATGTGTCAAATAATGTGACAAAAGCAGGTCTGCAGAGGGAATAAAGACATTTTTCAGAGTCAGTCTCTCCTCAAGGAGACATTTGTGAGAGATGGACAGGCTCTCCTTCAGACTGTCCTTTTAACAAGTGTGAAGAAAAAGACAGAGGGAAAAGAAAAGCTACAGAAGGGACAGATACAAGCTGGAGGGCAAGCTAAATGCAGAGTGCTGCATGGGTAAGCAGGCAGAACCCACTGGGAGCAGTGGGCGGCGTGCGGTATCACCTAAACTGGGAACAGCGAGAAATTCAGGTTGGGAATGTTTATTATCTTCTGTGCAATGTCAAGTTAGGAAAATAAATGAGGAAACGAGTAGAAACAGAACCATTTATTAAATCATAACCTGGGGGCTATACTTCTGCCTCAGTTGGAAACAAACCTCAGGTTTGGCAGTACTGACAGTGTTTCCAAGAATCTGAAAGAACAGTAACTGCAAAGGAGGAGTCCGTGCCCACTTACCTCGTTTCTGATGTTGACATCAGCATTTTTTTTTAGAAGATAGCTAACGATCCTGTTGTTTCCCTTTTTGCACGCACAAATTAAAGGGGTGTCTCCACTGAAACTGTCCTGGATGTTCAGATAGTTGCCGTTGTGCTCCAAAAGAAGCTGAACTTCATTGAAATTGTTATTATAAGCTGCCTGACAAATGGGCTGTAGAGAAAAGATAACATTCATCAGCACACGTTTCACTAAGGCATCCATTCTTCCTATTCTGACTTACTACTTCCACATCCTAAGTAACTGCCAGGCACTCCTGACAGAGGTTGTAGTTCTAGGCGACTCCAGAAGATGGTGGTAAGAGATACTCCTGCAGCTGTCACACAACAGCTCTCAGCCTTCAGCTCTTGTACAGCGCAATGAACTTTCTGCTCCAATTGGATGATGCGTCTATAATCCAAGAAATAAATCCGATTCCTTTGCAGCCATTGAAAACAAGGCTTATAATTTCACAGGAGCTGGGCACTGCATTAAGCTGCAAGTGCTG